TAACTTAATAAAATAATTAGAAATAATTAAATGTTTTTAGCAAAAATTTGGTACAAGTGATCTGCAGAAAGAGTTACGGTTTCTATAAATACTTTTAAACTTTCAAATGATGATAGACATTAGTGTAATATTTTTTCAGTCATAATTATTAGTATTCTTTCAGATCATAGCTGATATTAAAAAGATGCTTTTTTTAGACCTTCAAATGATAGTGGAAATTAATGCAACTTATATTCTTTTAGGTCACAACTGATAATCAAAAAGATACTCTTTTTATGATAATATTTTTTCAATGATGCCTTTTTTAGACCTTCAAATAATAGTGTAATTTATGTTCTTACAATTATAGCTAATAGTGTTTTTCTAGATTATTTTATATATAATAAATTATAAGTATAGTATTCTAATTTTATATACTCAAATACGATTTTTGAAGTATATCACTACTTTACTAAACCATATACCAATACTATTCATAATACTGAATTTTTTAAGCCATAATGCCATAATGCTATAATATACATTATATTGATATAATATTTATGACAATTAGATATGTACTATGTATGCTATAATTAATTTTACCACATAGTAATACCACCAACTATACCTGTTAAAGATAATATGAGTGACTCTGTAGTTGACCCATCAGATGATCCACAGTTAACCCTTTGGGTGACCTATAGTTGACCCTTCAGATGACTCGCAATTGACCTATTTGGGTCATTATTATCTCTACTTGGGTACTCAACTCACCCATGGATGACCTAGATGAAAACATTATAGATCAAAACACTAAGATAAACCTTTTACTAATAGTAGTCTGCTGGTTAAAAAACCTGGTATTCTTATTTCTAAAGGACATGTAGACCCTTATAGTAAAATCAAATCTAAAACTTTACAAGTTAACAATGAAACAAAAGGTGTAGCTAAAAAAAAAGTAAATCATTTAGAAAAACAGAGACCTATAAGAAAGATATGATTATTATTGCTTTACTCAGTTTCTTGTTGAAGGTATTACTACTTTTTCTAGTACTCAAATTAGGTCTAAAATGTTTTCACCTAATAATAGACTTACAAAAGTTAAACAGATGGTTGCTAGAAAAGTTATTTCAGTTCAAGAGACTAGGAGCCTATTAAGGTTGATAGAAAAATGTTGGTCTATGATAATGTTGGACCTGAGAGATAGATATCATCATAAATTAATAAATAAGAAGGCTTGCTATTTTTTGGATTTTATTAGAGAAGGCTTGTCATTTTTTGGATTTCTATATAAAGGAAACTTGGTACTAGTATCGAGTATTGTCATTTGGCCTTTTTCAAATAGTTTGGGTTTTCTTATAAATTATACAGGCATTAATTTTCTATTGGAGATCAAAGAGCATAGCATTAGGCTTCCATGTTAACAATATTTGAATGGCTCATCTCTTTGCAGAAATACTGAAAAGGATCTGTGACAAAGTCATATTACCAGATCTAAGGAACTGTAGATTCATCCTGGTATGAGACAAGAGCAACCTAATATTATTAAAAAAATAAAATTTTACAAGTTAATTGTAAACATAGAAAAGGCACAAGTAATTATACTATAACAAAAGTTAGCAAATACAAAAGTCTGTTTGAGGGTGCTGTTAAAAAAAATTGAATATTAGTTAAGCAATTGGCATAAGTTACAGGCAAAGTTCAGAGCTTAGCAAGAGCCTTTGCCTCAATGCAAATAAAATGTTTGGAGTTTTACTTCTTGATAGACTTAGCAAATTAGCAGAGTTGAAGATAGAACAAAAGAATTTACCTATTAGAACAGGTAAAAATGGATTTATATTGGTTGTCAAACAATCTGGAAAAGTACAATGGTTGCTTAGTCTAGAGGCTGTCTTTAATAAAGAGTTTGTTTGTAAATATCTTAACAACTAGTTGGTACATGAAGTTAGAAGAAAAAATAATGTTCAGAAATTAGACAAATATGTGGAGTTTTTAGAAAATTATAAGGTTGGAAGCAGAAGCTGCCTTACTCAGGTTACAAAGCTTTGCAAAATTTTTAACAGGTTCCTAAGTATTGGTATTCATAGACAACCACACAGCATTAGCAACAATAAGGTTGAGCAGAAAATGTTAGTAGCAAAAGGAAGCTTACAGAAACCTATAACAAATCTGCTTGAAAAAGAACATTTAGATCTATGAGATGAGGTAGATGCTCTTAGTAAAAAACCTAGAAGATTTTTAAATATAAGTTTTTGACTCTTTAGATTGGTGTATCAGAAAAAAAGTTTTTTAATGAATTTAGACCACTTTTGAACTACATTCGATAGATCGAATGGCTTTACACAAAAATACAAAGCTCCAAATATTCAACAACTTTCATTTTTGTCTGAGAATGAAAGTGATAAATTGCTTTATCCAAAGGTAAAAAAATGATGTGAACTATGTATATTCCTCTTGCATCTTGTTTAGAAGATGCTTTATTATATAAAAGTTGCAGAGCAAGATCCACTATTATAGTTCTAGTATAGTTGTCAGCAGAGTAATGACTGCTGCTCCTAAAATTAAAGTGAGAAGCCTTAGCTCTTTTGAACCTAAGAACAACATTCATATCTGACCTGTCAAGATTTGTAGAACTTTGGAGAATCTGCAGTAAAAATTTCTAGCCATCTACATCTGTTTATAAAAAAATCATCAAAAAAGACCAAAAAATTAGTAAAGGATTTAGTTGCCTAGTAGTAATTAAGGATGAAGAAGGAGAATTATGCTTTTTAGTTTCTGAATAATCTTTATCAACAATTTTATACTATACTACAATTAGGTATAGATGTATGTTAGTTATAGAAGGTGTTCATTCAATAGAAAAGATGTGTTTTATAATAAACAATAATAATAAACTATTTGTAAACAAAGTTACAAGGCAATATATTATTGTAAGTTACTAGACTTTTTATATGATAGTATCTCATCTGACTCATTCATTATATATTTAAGTAACTTAATAATCTATGTTTTTCTTTGTTCTTGAATTTTTCTGCTTGACTTTGTGTCTAGCTTCTCTTTCATCACACCCTCTCTCTAAAAAAATAAGTAAAAAGAGAATAAAAAAAAGAAAGTAAGATAATAATACAATACTTGTAAAAGCTGGTCACATAATATCAGATTGCTTGTTCAGTAACCTTATCCTATATTGTATTACAATTAAGCACAAATATATTGTTGATTATGGAAAGTGTTTATTTAATAGAAGAGATATATTTCATAATAAATAATAATAATTTGTAGTTTGCTATTTGTGAATGTTGTTTGTTTAGTATATTGTTTGCTATATGATTGTATATTGTTTTTTGTATGATTAAAGTTACCTATTATGACTATTTGCATTTATCTTTTTTTTTAAAACTGTTTCTACAACTTTTTGTTAAATGCTTTTTTCTATTATCTTGTCATTTGGTGATATATAGATCAAAATTATTACTAACTCCAATTGCTTAAAGTATAACATGATTTCTATTATGTATTCACTTATTTTCTTAACTGCATCTATATGTTTTTTCTATTGCTCATTCACCAAAATTCTAATGCTTAATTCTTTTTTTTTATTTTCTGCTGCATTTACCTAGTATTTTACATATCTGTTATTTGTAGTATATGTTAGAAATTTTCATTTTTTTTCTGTAAGATTTATTTTTATAATTTCTATTATTGTGATTTCTTTTTCTTCTGCCTAGCTTAGCAGATTTTTGAGTTTTCAACCTTTAGTTTTTAAGTCTGTTAATATTATGATATGCAATTTTAATTTCCTTTCTTCCTTCTTTTTACTTCTTTTTAAGTTGTTCTTACACTGTTTTTGTATTCTTAAACCTTTCTTTCTGCTTTTTACTTTTTCTATTTTCAAGACCAGGAGATATTTCTTTTCTTTTTTCTTCAAACATTCTTTTTTTTCTTTGCAGAAAGTCTTCAATCTCCTTGTCTGTATCCTTGAGTTCAACTAGGATGCCTGTAGAAGCAATTGGCTAGGCCTTTTTTTGTATTCAGATGTATATTTTCCAATCTGTTTAGTTTGTCTAAAATTTGATCTAAAATGTCTTTGACTTGTTTGATTTTTGGTTCAGATTGTGTATCTAATTTTATTTTTGTTTCTTCTAAGTTTTCTTCTTCTTCTTCCATGCTAATATTTCTGTATTCTAATCATTTACCAATGTTCTGTAGTTGAGAATCACTTTTTATTGTTATATATCTTTTGTTTGAGTATTAACTATTTCTATTTTAACTTCTTTTTCATCTTTCTCTACCACTTTTTTCTTTTATTCTTTCTGCATCAATGTTTCTATCTTCTAACTTTCTTCTATATTTTGTATTTAAGGATTACTTCTTATTTTTATATATTTTCTTTATAAGTTTTGACTAGTTCTATCCCAGCTTCTTTCTCTTCTACTTTTAGGACTTTCTCTTCTTTTTGTTTTTCTTATTTTTTTATTTACCTAGTATACTCAAAAGTTGTTATATATAATTAGTTTTGACTAAGCTATCTTTATCTCTTTTTCTGTTACAAATATAATTATTACAGTTTTTCTTTGATTTCCATTTCTGATTAGTGGGATATAAACTGATCTTGTATCTTTGCTTCTTAGACACTGTAACAATAAAACCTCTAAGACATTACTTGGCAGCTTTGTTAATTTTGCTATGTACTGCCTTTGCTTTTGTCTTGCCTTATAGTTTTCTTTTTTTTTTGTTACTTTTATCAGTTTATTATTGCTGACTGATATAGACCATGGAGTGCTTTCTTTTTCTATTTCTTTTATTTAAATTATTGTAAAAGACTTAAATTTGTATCTTTTAATTCTTGCCACATGTGCTTTCTTAAATCTTTTGCAAATATATTCTAGTTTTTTCTTATTTATACTTGCTGGCAAGTCCCAAATTGTTATAAATTTTTATCTTTTGTTTTCTTATTATAAATATTTTTTTGGGTTTCTTTTGGTTTTCTTTTTATTTTTTTTTTCTGTACTCTTTTTTCTTGTATTCTAATATACTTGCTCTTTTATTTTGATATTCTTCTTCATACTTTTTTTGCTTCTTTCTTTTTTCTTCTTTGTCTTTCTCTAGTATCATTCTATACTAGTTACTTTCTTTTTTACTAATTCTTTGTATTGTCTTATTTCTGCTATATTCATAATCAAAATCTATTTCAATTCATAAATTTCCTTATTTAAAAACTTCTTCAATGTTCTTAATATGTTCATTAACTTTTAATGACTAGCAAATGAACTTTATACATTCTTTTTTTATCCCTCCAGGCATATTATATATGAGTATGTTAGCTAATAAACTGCTATCTTTGCTGCAATTTCTTTTGCTTGATGCTTATATGCTTTTTTCTAAAAGAATTCTTACCATATCTATTTCTCTCTTGACTTTCTGTTTTCTTCTTTTTTCTCTTTTTTTTTCTTCTGTTATTGAACCTTGTCTCAATTTTTTATCATTCATTTCTATGTCTTCTTGTTTTGTTTCTTTTGTTTGTTCTTTTTTGGTTTCTATTATCTGTACTGATAATTTTTCTTCTATTTAATTTGTTTTTAAAACTTACTTCTGTTTTTGCTTTTTTTATTATAAAGAGGTTCTTATTTAGTGGTTTTCTTTTGTTCATATCTTCTTTTTCTGACCTTCTTTTGATCTTCTTCATACATGTTTTCTTGCTCTTCCTTTTTCTTTATTGCTTTTTGCACAAATTAATATTAAAAATATAATTCAAATATTTACAAACAATTATCTAAATGATAGCTTGATGGCTGCTATAAAATTAGAAGAAAATAAAATAAGCTAATATATATAAGATAGTAGAAAAATTTGTTACTTTTCAGATAATAAAAATTAAAAATTATTAAAATATCATCTAAAAAATAATGATATCATAAAAAAGATTTAAGATAATATTTTAATAATAGTATATTTATATATTAAAGATTTTATTAATCATATAAAGATATACTAGTGACT